AGGATGCATTGCTTGCTTTCACTGTCCTGGTGTATGGTAAATTTGTATGAGCAAGTAGTGGACGAAGAGCTAGCTTCTACAGAGGGAAAGAAGATTTCTTTTCTTTACATTCTCTCCAGTTACAAAGCAACAGCCAAGAATTACAGGGCAAAAAGTCAAAGTAAAGTTTTAAGTACAGAAAAGTTACAAACATCTGCGAAGTGTCTTATGAAACCATATAGCTAAATAGAGGCCTGCAGTCTAATAAAGCACTTTTCTTACAATTGTAGAGTACCAGTGAGATTTTAAAATGTTGCAGTATTTATTTGGCAAACCTGAGTTATTAGCTACTGAATATACTAGGTGCTAGGTACTTTAATGTCCAGTTGATTCTTTGGAAAGCCATTGGGTGCAGTTCTTTTCCTAATCACATTATGTGTTTTCACTGTGCATTTGGAAAGACCATTAAGAGATGTGTTTGATTTCTTCAGTAACTTCTTGCTTATGTGAACTTTTAACAGGTGTGAAAAATAATGTGTCTAAGTCCCACATTGCTCTACCTCTTCCAAAGGTGTTCATAGGCTTGAGGTGTGTTTTCTGTTTAGGCTTTGGGGTTCCCACTGGAAGTATCCTAAGAAATGCAGAATGAATCTGTGTTTCAAAAGATAGCATTTAACTAGTATGTGATCAGGAATAAGTAAAAATAAAATGTCTTTGCTGTCTTTCTACCTCTGAAAGCAGGTGAAGCAACCCCTCTTCCACCTGTGAATGGCTCAATTCAAGCAAAAAAGAAAATTACAAAGCATTGCTTTCTTTGTGGCAAGAAAACTGGATTGGCAACCAGCTATGAGTGCAGGTAGGCTGAGCACATAACTAGCTGCTGTTTAAAATTGATAGCTGGCTTAACCAAAAGGTTTTCTATGCTGCATGGTATTCCTTAAGTGTAGCAAATCAAAAGACGACCTTCACAAAAAGTTGTAATTCTCAGTTCAGCAAAACTCCAGGAATTAAAATTTGGGAATGTTTTACCTGTTCTGCTGTTGAGGTGTATGTTCTTCCAGGAAGATCAAAAAATGCAAGGTATCAGAATGCAAGATATCAGGAAATAAAGAAACATGATTACAAATAAAGCATGATGACATTTTATACTGGTGTGGGGAGAACTTGCTACAGATTTATGTTGTGCAAAGTTTCTCAACAGTAGTTATATCATTAACAACTTGGGGAAAAGCTTGTTTTGTTACAGTTATTCAGAAAATTTCCTGCAGATTTGGCCTTACAACATCTGCACAGTTTGTGAATTTATATGAATTTCTATTTGACAACTTTTTTATCGTGATGTGTTCTATTTCTTGTGAGACTTCAGTCACCTTTGAGCATCTAGAGCACCTCGAAAGTAGAATGCCAGAGTGCTGGTCTCCCAAATCACGACTTGCAGACAATGCAGTGAGACCTGGTGCTTGGTGGTGATCACTAGAGACTTAAAAAAAACCAAACAAACTAACCCAAAAAACATAACCCTGGTTTCTCTGTTGGTTTTGATTCTCAAAGTACTGGTTCCCACAAGATATTCTTTTCTTGATATCATTTCCCATAAGCTAGTCAAAGGTGGGAACTGCTGCACTGAGGGCTACATTTGAAGCTGATCTTGGTTCATGCCAGTCAACAGCAAAATGAACAAGACTTCTGCCATTGGGGAGTTGTGTTGGAGTTTCAGGGTGAGGAACTGCCTCCTTTCTGACTCTTCAGTCTTTGATTCTGAAAGAATTTTGGACACTGCATGCTT